TCTCAGCTCAGGGCTTGATCTCAGGGTTGTGAGTTCAAGCCCTGTGTTGGGCTCCACGCTGAGTGTGAAGCCTACTTAAAACAAAAAAACAAAAAACAAAAAAAACACAAAACTTCGGGGCCCCTGGGTGGCTCAGTCGGTTAAGCATCCGACTCTTGGTTTCAGCTCAGGTCAGGATCTCATGGTTTGTGGGTTCGAGCCCTGCACTGTGCTCTATGCTGACAGTTCAGAGCTTGCTTGGGATTCTCTCTCTCTCCCTCTCTCTCTGCCCCTCTCCTGCTCATGTGCTGTCTCTCAAAATAAATAAACTTAAAAAAATTCAAAGCACATAACGATGGTGGTAAGGGGACAAAGGGACAAAGTACCCACTGAAAGAGTTCCAAATGGCCAAAGCAGGAACAGTTTGGGCAACAAAATTTTAGAAAGTAGTAATGTATCATGACCCAAAGTATAAAATAAATATCATTGAGTCCATCCTGATATAAATGACAAGAAAACAATAAATGGAGGGGGACAGATAAATACCCCATGGAAAGAACTCCTTGAGGAGATGGACTCCATCTAAGCGGTACGATATAGAAAGCGGGAAAATGAGTAACTTTACAGTGGAGTGGCCTGACCAACACTATCTCAATCAAGTGATTAAGGCTGATGCCAACATTATTAACATGCCTGCAAGTATGTACCTTTGATACAATGCGAGGAGAATGGCACCTTACCTCTGTGACTTCCTCCCAAAGAATGCACAACCCCAGGCTAATCACGGGGAAGATGTCAGACAAATTCTGGTTGGGACACGCCCTGCAAAACATTTTACTGGTAGCCCCTCAAAACTATCAAGGATCATCAAAAACAAGTTTGCAAAACCGTCACGGTCGACCAGAACTTAACAAAGCATGACAACTAAATGAAATGCGGCATCGTGGATGGGATTTTGGAGGAGGAAAAGGCCATGAGGGAAAAATTCTGAGAGCCTGAATAAAGTATGAGCTTCAGGTGATGATAATGTGTCAATATTGGTTCACAAACTGTGACAAGTGCACCATGCTAATGTGAGATGTTAATAACAGGGGAACCTGGGCATGGGGTATATGAGAGCTTTCTGTATTATGCTCACAATTTTTCTGTAAATCTAAAACTACTCTAGAGTACAAAGACCATTAAAAATAGCGATTCCGTGGGGTGCGTGGGTGGCTCAGTCAGTTAAGCATCTGACTCCTGGTTTTGGCTCAGGTCATGAGCTCATGGTTTCATGGGTTTGAGCCTGCTTGGGATTCTCTCTCTCCCTATCTGCCTCTCCCCCACTTGTGCAGTGTCTGTCTGTCTGTCTGTCTCTCTCTCTCTCAAAAATAAATAAACTTAAAAAAGAAAACACAAAATAACATGTGGGCCAACGTGGCAGTGACTGCTAGTTTTATCCCCAATATCTATCTTTCCCTTCCTCTCTAGGAGGAGACACTCCTCACTTCCGCCTCCAATTTTCATCTGTGTACACGGGCACCTAGATAAAGAATGTAATTCCCAGCCTCTCTTGTAGGTAAGTGTAACCCAATGGATGTTAAAGTGGAAATGATGTGTACCTATCCTGGGTCACGTCCTTAAAAAGAATCGGCAGATACAGGGCTGAGCCACCTTGGCCCCTAAGAGAAAGGGCAATTCCCCAAGGATGGTTGCAAGGAGGCTGCATGGGTCCCTGATGACTTTGTGAGGTAGAGCTGCCACACCAGTTCACACTTTTACATGAGAAAGAAAGAAACTTCTACCTTGCTTCAACCTGGGTTAATTTGGGTCACTGTCACATAAAACCAAACCTACATCCGAACTAACATAGCCAGCAAGAGGACAACTCTCTCCCGGTAAAAGTCAATGTTCATGGTACGCGTTTGTACCGAGGAACCGGAATTCCTAACAGACTCAGAAACCTATGGAGAATATTTAGCCTCGTTTCTGGAGAAGTATAGTGGATCAAGCCACTTGACTGCTCAAAAAATTCTCAAAGACTGGCAGGATAGGAAGTTATACTGGTCTCATGGGAGTCTTCCAGCTAGGGTTCTTCTCTTATTTATAGGGTTTTCTCTTTTTTTGCCTGAAGTTCGTTCCCAGAAAACGAAAACACTCCAGAATGGCATTTCAGTAAGACCTCACTTTCACAGACATGCTGCTTAAAGTCTTAATTTAAAAAATATTTCTGCTAATCTGTTTTTTTAAAATTTTTTCTAACGTTTATTTATTTTTGAGACAGAGAGAGACAGAGCATGAATGGGGGAGGGGCAGAGAGAGAGGGAGACACAGAACCTGAAGCGGGCTCCAGGTTCTGAGCTGTCAGCACAGAGCCCGACGCAGGGCTCGAACTCACGGACCGTGAGATCATGACCTGAGCCGAAGTCGGACGCTTAACCGATTGAGCCACCCAGGCGCCCCTCTGCTAATCTCTTTGGCAGAAACTTCATTCTGAAGTTTTTAAAACTATTTCTTTTGGAAACCACTAATGCAAACATCTCACCCCCAACCACACTCTCTGCTTCCATGTTTGTTTATCTATCCCACTCGGATGGTTCCCCCACCTCCCTGGGACCTCCCACGCAAAGAGTTCTCAACTCTTCCCTCAAACAACCAGTCCAGCCCTCTCTCCTCTTTGCTTCCATTCTCAGCCACATCTTATTAACACTCTTCCCGGGGCGCCCGGGTGGCTCAGCTGGTTAAGTGTCTCGACTCTTGATTCCGGCACAGGTCATGATCTCACAGTTTGTGAGATCGAGCCCTGAGTCGGGCTACATGCTGACAGCACAGAGCCTGCTTGGGATTCTCTCTCTCCCTCTCCCCCACTCACGCTCTCTTTCTCTCTCAAAATAAAAAAAAAAATAAGCTTAAGGAAAAGAAATTAAAAAATAACACTCTTCCCTATACCCTGGATTCATCTGCCCCTCTCTGGGATTTCACTGTAGTCACTGGACTAGACCCCAAACCTGCAAGGACCCATCTCAGTCTTCTTCATGCTGCCAGCCAAGTACTCCTGGACACAATAGTACAACAGGGCAGACTGATTCCACTGTCAGTTACCTATTCCTCAAACCCAAATGGGTCCTTAATACCGCTCAGCAATCCCACAGCATTTCTTTGGTCAATTCACTTGCTCACTCGCTCCCCCACTCTCTACAACTATTTCCAAATCTCCTCCAAACTCCTATTACCTGTGGAAGACAGCCTCCAAGATGGCTCCCAATGATCCCTGCCTCCTAGTACTCGCCCCTCTGTGTAGTCCCTGCTCACACTGTATCAGCGTCCATCTGTGTGACCAATAGGTGGAAGGGATGATGGTCACTTCCTAGATTAGGTTATAAAAGACACTCTGGCTTCCATCCTGACGCTCTCCCTCTGAGGGAAGCTATGTTGTAAGCTGTCCCATGGAGAAGTCCCTGGAGAAAAACTTAGGCCACATAACAGCCATATGAGTGAGCCTGGGGAGGATCCCCCACCCTCGGTCAAGTCCTGAGAGAGTGCAGTTCCAGCCCAGAGCGAGACAGTAACCTCGCAAGAGATCTTTGTGCCAGAACCCAGCTAGGCTGTTCCCGGATTCCTGACCCTCAGAAACTGTGTGAGGTAATACATATTTGTTGTTTTAAGCTGCTAAATTTTAGGCTAATTTGTTCTACAACAGAAAACTGATAGGCCACCTGCTCCTACCTCCTTCTCAGCAGGTGCTCCCACCTCCTACTCCACAGATAAAAATAGAAGCCAGCAGACAGGAATGCCATCTTACTTGTGTACGGCAGCCATCTTTACACGCCCTGTCCTCTCCTGGGACAACAGTGGAGCTGTGCCTCCTCCCTCTGGAGGCCAACCCCTCTCCACATGTGTTAGATTCCATTTTCACCTGCTTTCTCCCGAGGCTGGCACTCGCTTTCATGGACTCAGCTTTTCCATTCCGACTGCTGTTTAAAGACAGGGACAGGGGCGCCTGGGTGGCGCAGTCGGTTAAGCGTCCG